AACCTGCCATTTCAGAGCATTAGCACCAGATACTTAAAAACAAAGACAAAAAAAAAAAACAGTAAGAATGAAAAATCCATTTACCAGAGACAGGGAAAGAACAATGAGATGAAGGCATATCTCCAATGTTCTACGATCGACATAGGGCTGGTTTGGTATTGCTGTGATTTGAAAAAAAGTTGCTTCTGCTGTGCTGTGAGAATAAGCAGTGAAATAAAGCAGTAGAGTGTTTGGTAAACTTTTTTGTAAAAGTGTTTTTGAAAAAGAAAAAAAATAGTATTATAGTGTTTGGTAAACTTTTATGTAAAACAGATTTGAAAAAAAACCGGTTTTTCAAACCTAGGTTTTGCAGCTTCTTGTTTTTGGCTTTTTTTTTCACCCAAAACTGTGAAAAAAAGCTGAAGCTGAATGTTTACTAAACACAAAAACAGCTCCCAGCTTTTTTTTTATACCAGCTTTTTTCAGAATCAGTACCAAACCAGGCCATAATGGGACAATCCCTTTGGGAAGGTTCCACTTGTAGCGGAAACTGGCTTGATCTGCAAACAAAAGAAAAGTACTTACTACTAATTTACAGATGATTATAAGTTAAGCAACATCGTGCGAACATCCAACCTCATTCAGAAAGTAAACAGCATAGCTGTAAAGTAACTCCTGAGCATTTGCATCCTTTGTACCAGCAGTACCTGCTCGACATTATCAAATTTTGGGCAATGACACGAAGCATGATGAAATCAGGCCGCACATATTGTAACTCAAACTGTGTTTGAGGAATAGAGCTTAGACACAGTTGCCTGTGATTCAGTCTGTTACAGAACATTGCTATGTGAGAAATTATCATGCAGACAGACAAGCTACTTGGAGCGTACTGTTCAAATCAGTATCGTCTTTAGTGGAAACTACCTTCAAAAACATTAAAGCAAGAGCGAGTGTGGCTCCAGGTGCAGTGGCATCAACATTGACCGCAGTTCCATCCATCATCTACAAGACAATATTAACAAGGGGGAAATGCCCATATCAACTGTTAAAATGCAGACAAGTAGGTTAAAGTAAAGACCGCAATGTAATGGAAATTACAATTAAGCTAGTGTGAAACACTCAACCTGTGCAGCAGCACGGCTGTGTTCATCGGCTGATAATATTGCCGAAAGGGATCTATCCTGATGTAGGTGAACAATTAACTTTCGTGTTAGAATAACCACAAATTGAATACTATGGTGGGATGAAATTCTTTCCCAAGACATTTGGGGAATAGAGAAACAAAATGTACTAATATTCAAACATTCGAAATTATACACGACCGAAAAGTAACAGAGTAATGAAAGAAATATGGACTCAACAGCATACATTGTGTCCATGAAACCAAGAGCATCTTCTCCCCGACCTTCATTAACATCCATCATTATGACCACATTTTGAAATAATTGATATCATTTAACTGTCCATACCCAATGCAAAAAGACCCAATGAAAATCCTGCAGAAATAGCATAACCCTCCCTTTCAAGAACATTATCTCCTGCACTTCTACGTCCTATTTCCAACTGTAAAATGCAGCATATAACATATGAAGTCAGATACAAAGGCATCATATAACCCAATGAAAATCATGTTCAACTGTACCCTTCCTACCAACAACAACAACAACAAATCCTTTTCCCACTAAGTAGGGTTAGCTGTATGAATTCTAGAACGTCTTGGCGCTCAGTTCTGTGCCGCATCTTCCGTTAGATTCAAGCACTCTAAGTCTTTTCTTAGATCCAACTGTGCCCTTCCTACCATTTAAATAAAATAAATTTATGTTATGACTCTCTAAATTTGCTCTTAATATACTGAAACAGCGCAAGTACAACCCAAAGAATTGAGAATGGTTAAAAGACAATATAACTTAGTAATTATTGAAAAAGATTCCAAGTTAGTCCACTCTCAACTTATGCATCTACAATGACATGGTTAAAGACAATGAACTTCGTAACTATTGAATAAGATTACAAGTTAGTCCCCTCTCCAACTTATGCAGCTATAATGTTGAACACAGATGCTTAAAACTTAAAAAGCATAAGTCACTACCTTAGATGTTGCTAAAAGAGCAAATCTGAACATACAGTTGCATTTTGCTGGGCAGGCAACCAACCTGCTAGAACAAATAATGGTTTAGATATGTTTTAGGATCATTTGACCAAATAATGGTTCAGTAGAATCTATAGAGTTATAGGCCCACTATCGATTAGATATGTTTTTAGACAAATCATTATCATGCCATTTTTTATCTCTTAAACTTTTAACCCTCTTCAATAGAAATGACATGAATTAACAAATTTTAACCCAACTTAAACATAGGGCTAAATCCGTTGTTTGACGGGAGGACAATTATAAGTCATTTCGCTCCCATGCATTTGTAACACGTGACCCACGTTTTCTTCACGTGTAAGAGAAAAAAATAAGAAGGCGACTGAAGTGGACTAATTAAAAGTTTGCTAAGCTATGATCAAATCAAGGCAAGCAAGATGATGAGCTTCATACATCATACCTTGACCAAACACAAAACCACTCTTCTTTTCTTTTCTTCAACAAAAATAAAAGTCAACCATGTTGTATTAGCTAGAAGCCTAGAAGTCAAATAATACTGTTAAAAATGAATCAAAAACAATATTTGTAGCACATGTACTGTAGTCGATTCTGATATGATTAATATGTTTGCCTAATATAGAACTCACCAAGATTTGTAGGTATTATACAAATAAAATGTTTAGTGTGTTTAACTAATATTAGCACGAGATAGTTCAATGATTGAGGACGAATTACAAGTCTGTGTTCCTCGCAGCACATCTTGGATTCGATTTATGGTGTCGATAAGTCACAAACTATAGTGGCCAAATGATGCTAAAATGCTTCAGTGAGTATCAGAATCTCAACAAAGGTAGGTTGTCATTGTGACGAAATCACCAACTGATCATTTTTTTGAAAGAATAAAATATGGTCAACATATTGTTACCATATGCTTTATGATAGCAATAGGTTTAGTTCCAGATTGTCTATATTTATCATGACCAAGTCGCATTCTCATACCCCCATTGATGAGGTGTATTTTGCATGCATATGCACGCTGACTTGTTAAACCTAGATATTATAAGTACAACTAGGTGGTGTCTTACGTACTTGTTGGTTTCTAACATTGCAAACATCGATATGAATTGCAATCTATAACATTGAGTGTTTGACCTTTCTACAACGTTTAACGGTAATTATGTTTGTTTTAAAAATCATAGAATTCCAAACTATAGAATAACTTATGCCTTGACTTCGGACATTGTCAACTCTAACACATCTTTTTTACAACCATGCAAGAGATCTTTATTGACATCTTCAACTTTCTTCATGCCATCGAAATTAGGCAGCCCTAGTGAGAAACTCAACAGCTACATCTATTTATCACATTCGAAAAAGCACATTAAGAATATAAAATATACATAAACAAAATAAACCGAACCAAATGAAACCTACCCCTAAATATAATATCAATTCAATTTTCAATTTTATAAAAAACCTGAACCGAATGAAACCTACCCCTAAATATAATATTGGCGCGCACGCCACCGACTGTAGACTGCAGTTGTCAACTTTGTCTGTAACAGATAGCTTGTAGCTGGAAGCAGGGAAACTCCGTGAAACCCTTGCCACCGACACAAACCAATCAGAACCTGCCATGTGCAAGTCAATTTTCTTTTTCTTTTGGGTGCGGAATTAATAAAAAATAATTAAAAGTGGAGAAAAAAGGGGAAAAGGATGGGATACCGAATATTGACAGGGTGTTGGCAAATAAGAACCATACGAAACAACAGCATATTTGACCGTTGAACAATATACTGGTCTTTGAAATAACCACCACCCACTCTACGAGAACATTTCAAAATTTCACGATCTTCCTTTTATCTTTTGGATATTTACAAATTGGGTCCTAATTGTGGTGGTTATTCCATTTTGACATATTTGACTCTCTTTCCATCTCAAGTTGGTCCTTAAATTAGCTAAAGCGTGAGAAGGAAAAATTTAAACTTGAATGTGAATGATGAAGTACATTGCTTTAATTAATTTTGGTTAAGTCTGGTTCTACCATTTGTCCATGAACTTTTTAATTTTAAATTAGAGGTACATTGGCGTTGGTTATAAAAATTAACAAGATTATTAATGAGTATAATTTAGTTTGGCAAATTTTATGTTGAAACAAACAATGATATCGACTACGAGAACAAGGAACCTTTCAAATCCTCAACATTGGTGTGCGTCAATGAAGATGAGATAATGTGAGATCAAGGTTATGGGTTGGTCAGTCGTTTTGAAAACCAAATGAAACATCAAAACACTCACATAAATAAGACACTCGTAAAAAAAAAAAATCATATTATTTGGTCAAGCCACTCATTTTCGACTTTCTTAAGATCAAAACTAGCAATTCTAATTAGTCATTCTCATGCCGTTTAAGGAAACCAAGTCCAAACTTGGAAGAGAAAAAACATTTGATTTGGTCAGTTTTGTATAGGTTGGGAAACATTTTGATCAAACTAGATGGGTTTTGTAACCAAAAAATTTCTCACCCTTATCAAACCCACATTTAAAAGTTAAAAGCTAATTACAAGAAGCTTATAATTGAAGTGGTCAAGAGCAAATGCTCATATACCCGATATTATGAGTTCGATTCTACACTCTCTCACCATCGTTCGTAATAAGAAAGAGTGAGACAAAGAAAGTGTTTAGGGACTAATTAGAGACGAGAAAAATTCAAAAGACTCGATCTAAAAAACCTCAAAAATTGAGGGGACAAATGTGAGATCAAACCTAAATATTCTTGTAAATATTTGAAAATTTGATATTGTAGAGATACGGCAGGCACACTCTTTACGCATGGTCAACATCAAGTCAATTCAATTCCCATACAACCGAATTACGACCCGGTCGCTCCGTTGCCACCTCCACTTTATATAAACACCTTCCATTTCCCGCTGTCGACCAAATCACACAGAGATCACACAGAGAGCGCACTCGCAGAAAAACGCACTCGCAGAAAAACAAATAAAATCCCCAAAAAAAGAAAAGAAAAATAAAATCACAGAGAGAGAGAAGGGGAAAAATGAATTGCGCTTTGGTGGTGCCGAACTCGCCGATTTTCTCGCCGTCGAAAATCCCCTCCCATTTTTTCCGGTCGTCGGCTGTAGCTTCCCCGTCGTCGTGTTCTTCGCCTAGAGTCCTACATGGGGCTCCGCCTACGCCGTCGCGATCGTCGGCTTTGACGACGCCGGGTTTCGAGTCTCGGTTTCAGAGGCAGGTGGTTGGCGGGTGCCAGAAGAAGGCTTCGGGTTTGGCTCTGAAGAGGAAGAGGCCGATGATGATTGATATTCCGGTGGCGCCGTCGGTGAGTTTTAAGGCGGAGGCGGATGAGGGCGCGGCGGAGAGAGTGGAGATGGTGGAGGTTGATGAGGATGGGTATTCGGTGTATTGCAAGAGAGGGAGGAGGGTTTCAATGGAGGATCGGTACTCCGCTGCTGTTGGTCTTGGCGATGATTCGAGACAGGTAAATTGTGGTTCTTGCGCTCTGAATGTTCTGTTTGTTTCCCGAGAAAATTTCAGAAATGGAAATTAATATCTTGACTGGAAAGTTCAAGCATTTAGCTTTGATTAGATTGTTTTAAAATTTTGTTTTTGATTTGAGCTTCGACCGACAAAATATACGACGAAATCAAAATTGGGTTTCTAAATTTTTTGGAAAGATATAAAATCGTGGGATCATGTTTTTGAATTCGCCGTTCGAATTCGTGCTGATTAAGATTATGTGATGACAGGCATTCTTTGGTGTGTTTGATGGGCACGGAGGGGCCAAAGCAGCTGAATTTGCAGCCAAGAACTTGAATAAAAACATTGCGGATCGTCTGATGGGTGGAAGTGAAGAGGAAATCGTGGAAGCAGTCAAGGATGGTTATCTAACTACCGATGTCGAGTTTTTGAAGGAGGATGTTAGTGGTGGTGCGTGCTGTGTGACTGCCTTGATCCAAAAGGGCAACCTTGTGGTGTCCAATGCCGGTGACTGTCGTGCAGTTATGAGCCGAGGAGGGGTCGCGGAGGCCCTTACATCCGATCATCGTCCTTCTAGATTAGATGAAAGAGAAAGGATTGAGACCACGGTAAGCATTCAAATATGTGTATATGGACTCGTGGATTTGATATAATCTTACCTAAAGATTGAAATGGAAGATAGTGGAGTTCGTCACTGATTGGATTTTGCAATGTTTTGTTTTGTAGGGTGGTTATGTAGATTGTTGCCGCGGTGTTTGGAGAATACAGGGGTCTCTTGCTGTTTCGAGATCAATTGGCGATAGACAGCTTAAAGAATGGGTGATTGCAGAACCAGAGACTAAAGTCTTAACGATAAACCCCGAATGCGAGTTTTTAATGTTAGCTTCTGATGGTCTTTGGGACAAGGTAATTTTAGAACTAATCTCATTCTGTTTCATGCGTCGTTCGTTTAGAACGATTACTTCGGAAGTATCTGAATCTAATAAGAAGTTTTCATTTCTCTTTCCAGGTTACTAATCAAGAGGCAGTAGATATCGTTCGCCCTTTATGCGTTGGCGTTGATAAGCCGGAGCTCTTTTCAGCTTGTAAGAAGCTCGTTGATCTGTCAATTCGGAGAGGTTCCATGGACGATACAAGTGTGATGATAATCCAATTAGGTCGTTTCGTTTGATGATACCGATTTAGGTAAAATGAAACTCAGTCCAGACTACGACAATTGACCTTTTCTTCCACTGCAAGTAAAGTTTTCAAGAAACTTGCAGAGTTAGAAGGAAGCCAGGAAGACAAGCCATGGTGCAGAATAGCAACAATCACATGACCAATTGTAAATGACCATTTGTATGCTCCCGGGAGATTTTGTCTCGGCGGTAGGAAGAGAGTACTAGAAGCACGTTGCACGTGACGATAATTGTTAGGACTCGTTTGGTAAGTGCTTTTAAATGGCTAAAGGCGCTTTTAGAAAAAATGTTTGAGTTTCAAAAGCATTAGAAGCACTTCAAATGCTTTTGGAGGATTAATTTGCATTTTTACAAAGGATTGGTCCTGAAAACATTTCTCTAAAAGTGGTTTCAGTCATTTAAAAGCACTTCCCAAACGAGCTTGGAACTTCTGTAAATTTCTTAGCTATTTCAAAGTTTATTATAAATGATCAAAATGTTTACCCTTTAATCTCAATTTCTTTTTCTGTTTTCACTGCATAAGTAGCTCAACCGTTGATTTACCATGTGTGAATTTATTGTCTTAGTATGTTGTGTTTAATTACTTCCAGATTATAGTAAATATGTTTTGGTTTGGTCTTGTTTAAGTGAACTTGTAGGGCACATGCTTCTTTAGTCCGTTAAATTGTTGTTGGACCAGGCAGTCCTGTTTGGCAGCTGCAGCCTGCAGGCTTAGTTTTCCATTTGAATATATTTCCGCATGCGCTTTGTTGTTTGGTCAAAATTCAATGACAAATATGTGTGCCGGAAAAACGGCTTAGTCTACAACAAATTTCCAACAACTTGTGTTTTGATATTTAATGTACCGAGCTATATTCATGACACATTGAAGATTTTAACGCACAATTGTTGTTGGGACTTTTTCTTTTAATGTCTCGAGTCCAATTATAAGGCATGTTTACTTAATGGAAACTAGCAATTGGCACACACATTTTATGTGTGCAACTGAATTTGTTTTTTATTTTATTATGACATATCATTAATGAACACGGATGACAACTCAAAAAAGAAAAATAAATAAATAAATAAAAAGGAAAGAGAAGAGGTAGGATAATGTGAGGAATGTAGATAGAGGAAGAGAGGAGAAAAGTGGGGTTTATCTATTTATTTTTTAATTTTTAAATACAATATGCCATATTTACATGGCTATGATGTTAGTATAAGAAACAGTAAAATTTATGTTTGGCGTAATTACTAAATTGTCCACATTTTTTATTTTTGTTTAGTTTTGGTGAGAGGGTTAGAGTGGTACTTTACTAGAGTTTTGATTGACAAACAAAGTTTTATTAATATGTAGTTTAGATAAATGAACAAAAGAATCAAAGAACTTGAAAACAAAGGAAAGTAAGGAAAGAAAATCGATTAACTAGTCCCTCTAATTGATTTGATTCTTGAATTTTAATTATTTGATTACGAATTTTAATAGAAAATTCACAATTTTTCGGTTCTTTGTGTTATTCAACATAATAAAGTTAAAAGGTGAAACAATTATGATATTTGTTATAAATAAACAAAAGTGAGAGAGAAAACCTATGCTAGAGATCGAGTGGAACGAGAACAATGTATTACACTTTTTATTTTGTGCAACTGTATCAGACAATAGACGCAGGTAAAGAGAGAAATAATAAAATTGGTACAAATTGTCTACTTAGATAGGTAGATAGAAAGACGGGTAATCTTTACATTATAAAGGTCCCTTTATATAGGGAAAGTCTTACGCTTGCAGGAAACAATTGCATGAGTGAAAAAGTCATCATGCATATTTACTATTTCACATTTCTAAGACTTTTCCACATAAAGCTTTTAGTTGTTGTCACTAAATTAACTTTTGATAGCATGTTAGTTTGTTTATTCGTGCATTCATACGTGTGACATCCATGCTATATTTCATAACAATGTCTATAGTATAATGAAAGCATAAAACTCGCACATTTTCCTGATGCAGTCTCCACCAATATTATTGCACATCGCTTTCCCTTTTAGAGCATGCGTGGTTCAAGTGACTTGTGACTTGGATTAGTGGACATCAGGACATGCCAAACTCTTTTTATCTAATATTGCTGTAATAGTTTAGTGGCAAACACTTTATAGTACTGTTTTTTCTCCCTACTCCTTTTTGGTTGACTAGAGAGGCGTTTCGAACTTTATACGTCATTCTAGGAGGAAGAGAGATACCAAATACTAAATCACGAGCTAGTTGATAATATTGTGATTCAAAGGTTTCACGGATACCTTTCCAATGAAACGTGAAACCTTTGAATCATTTTGGGGTAGGGGGGTCAGTTGACCTCTCGAATGCATTGAGGGGTATCCACGGACATTCACTAATCTTCAAAAAGGCAGCACCTAAGATATCCATTGACATTCATTAAAGTTCGGAGGATCAACACCCAAGGTATCCATGAACGTTCATTGAAATTCGAGAGTTCAACTGACCCCCTACCCCTCAATGAAGATTAGAGTTGGCTTCATACATGCCCTCCAACTGACTTCACGCCTATCAAGACTCGGTGAATGTCAATGGATACCTTAGGTGCTTCCCCTTGCATACATTAACAGGTGTACAATATGCCTTTCCAAATGACTTCAGGCCTACCAAGACTTTATGAAATGACGATATGCATGCTATTTTAGGTAAAAAAAATTTACGCGTTATTCTTACTTACTCCCCTAATATTATTTCATGGATCCGCCACTGCTTGTAGTGCAAAATACCTTGAAGAACATGATGTCGTTTTACATATATAAACGATTTGCATGCAAATAGAATGACAGGTGTCTAGAGTTTAATTAAAATGAAACTAGTACATTCATTCAACCGGTAAAGAAAGAGAAGTGGAGTCATCTGATCTGATATCAAGTTTCTGCAGTAGAAATGGCCTTGCCTTTTCCGTTAACGGATGAGCAAGTTTCTGCAGTCATCTTTTCATTGCTGTCACGTTGTATTGATCATGTTCTCCATCTCTCTCTGTCATTTGCTCGTCAGCCTCGTTTTTGGACTTTCTCCTCCAGCCAATCGTGACACATCGAGAACGAAGACGGTGAGAATAATTATGGTTTTATATAATATACATAAGCATGACTTCATCTACATGCTTATGCTTTGTGTTTTTTGTCCAAAGACGACTTCATGTTGACTGAATTGGGGACTTTGCTTCTGTTTTGTTTGCGTCGGATGTCGCTGGATCAAATGTAACGTTATTATTATTTCATAAACATAAGACATAGTAATAAATAGTAAAATAGAAATATTAGCTACCTTTCAGGAGGATCCTCGTCGAATTTTCTGATCATATTCGTTTATCATATATCGTGCAGTTATAAATCATTGTAATTTTTTATTATTTAAAATTGAATATAAACAGTACCTAACAAAAACTGACCGTACAATGTACGATGAATGTATGTGATTAAAAGATCTATGAAATCCTAACAAAAAGGATCCGATGAGAATCCTCTCTCAGCTACCTTTCCTTCTTCATTTTCCCACTCATTTATTGACTAATTATTTCCATTTGCACAACTAACTTAAAACTTAATGCTTTGACCCAGTTTATATGTTTCCACCGGCAGTAAATGTGGTGTGTAGAAATCAATAGATCCACAAAAATTAAATGGGCTAAGTTTTTATTGGGCTTATGCATTCTTTGTGGTTATGAGACGTAGACCGACTTTAAAACTAAATTTTGCCAATATATAACACCGTATGTTTTAACTCTTCATTAAAAAAAAAAAAAATTGTATCAATGATCCTGTAACTCTAATTTAATTATTAATTGTTTTAATTAAAAATTCGTGAATATTAGTCTCTTAACTAATTAAAATGTACAATTATGGTCATTTTCGTTAACTCCGTCAAAATGAATTATGGTGGAAGAACCATTACTACAATTGAGTTAAAGTTGAAGGATCATTACTTCTATTGGATTAAAGTTGAGGGACCATTGTTAAAAATTTCTCCTTTTGTTTGACCCTTGATTCAAGCTCATGTACGTGATATATGACTCATTTTGATAGAAGTTCTGATGGAGTTAACGAAAATGACCATATGTGCAAGTTTTGATAAGTTAATGAATCAATGGTCATTAATTTTTATTTGAGGGACTATTGCTCAAATTCAATTAAAGTTAAATGACCATTGCTATAAAAAGAAAAAACTTTTGTGTTATAGATTACAAATGAAGAATTATGCTTTGCTTAGCCAAAAAGATGACTAATGTAAGTTTCCAAAAAAATTATGCTTTTCAACAAGGACGTATTATATTTATATTTATATGAATAAAATGAGATTCACTATGAATATTGTGTTTGAAGCATGTGAACCGAGAAATCTTTACCTTTCAAGAGAGAGAAAGAAATTCGAATTACTCAAGTTTTTGGGGTTTTACGAAGTAGGTTAGTGAAATAAGCTAATGTGACTGTATGATTGAAATTAAATGTCTAGATCTCTCGATCGCAGGTTTAGACATAGAAATTCCAAGTGGATCTCAATCTTATGAAAATGAGATGCAAAAGTAAAGACTTGAGATTCAAATTTTGAATCTTCTATGACAATATCGCTTGTACTAAAATAAAAATAAAATATTAATTAAACAAGTAAACGATAACTTAAGATGATAAGACACAATCCGGCTAATTTATTCTGGTAGTCCCTTCCTTCCACCACTTACAACATGTTACCATAGAGAAATTTTTAATTGTGATTGGAATACGGGTGGTACATCATATGTTTTTATGTAAGTAGTGAAATTTTATTTTTAAAGTTATTAATTTTTTAACACACATATCTCACCATTTATATAGCGACACATGGTATACCATACCAACCAATATGTTGGCGCACTACAGAACATTTTTAACACGTAATTATTTTTTATTTTTCCTCCTCCTCCTAATATTTTTATTTTTTAATTTTATTTTTTAATATTTTAGCTCTCGAAGTGCTCTGGATGAGATTCTTCTCTGCGTCTCGTTTTATATTTCTCACTCGAAAAAATTCCATTTTATAAAATCGCCCATAAAAAAAAACAGACCTCCCTTCTAGTCCCCTCCCATTTCTCCTCAGATCTCTCTCCCTTGTTCGCTTTTGCGGGTCCAAGGGTTTCGCTGCTGCTCTAGATCTCCCCCAGCGATTCGAATCCCTCTCCGGGTTCGAAACGCTCTCTCTCTCTCTCTCTCTCTCTCTCTCAGCCGTGGCCTCGCACTTCACGGCCGCATCGCATTCGTAGATCCAAGCCGCCGATTCCGAGCCGTCGATCTGCTCCCCAGCCATGGCGGCCGCGAACGCTCCGATCACCATGAAGGAGGCCCTAACGGTTAGTCTTTAACTTCCGATTCGAATGCTACTTCAGCTCAATTCAGATTTACACTTTTTTTTTGCCGAATTAGTTGCTTTTTTGGTCAATTGCTGTGCTTGATTTGTCGTTTTTTCTTCGAGTTTGTTACTTAGTT